ATAACAGAGGAAAATATGTGATGAATGTTTGTTTCCTCTAGCTAGTGCTCTCACCATGACATGTGACACAGTAAAATTTGATGTGGTGAGTGGTGACACAATGTTTGTCATCAACAAGTATGCACGTGTATAACTTCTTATATTAATTATTCATATGGATTTTTTTTTAATCTCTATTGCAATATATCCAAAAACATGAGCAGCAGGGTATTGCAGCAGCACACAAACATAACAAAGCAATTCAAAATCCTTGAAAACAAATAACATTGGCATGAAACGTCACTCTACTAATTTCCAGTTTTCCATACCTAAGGTCATGCTTAAGCGCATTAGGAAATTCATAAATAACTACTTACCTACAGATGGTTTTTCTCCAACAATGCAAAGTTCAGTAGCTCCTTGAACCTGTATTTCGGAGAATTCCAAAGCTCTTGCTGGAGATGGTTTCAACACACTCCTAAAAGGTGGCAAATTTCATACATTTGAGTCTGTATAACTTATTAAATTATCGCACGGCTACATAACTTGACTTCACAGGAAGAAGGCAAAAAAATCCTAAAAAGGGAAATAAGAAGGATGCTTAATGACAAATAAACTTAGTATATTTTAAGTCAAACAGCTGATAGTATTTAAAGTCAAACAAAGTCATTGATCTGATGCACAACTTACATTTCAGACATTTAATCTACATATATGGCGTAGGTTTGTAGCATGTAGCTCTGAACCAGATTTTATTCTACAATCTAAACCAAGCGGTGGCACTAGTCAACTAATATGGTCAACACTCATCTGGTTTGCACTTGTCACTTTGTCAGACAATAAGTGGTTAACCTTGGTCAAAGACGCCACAAAGCTTTGGATTTAAATTTTAGAAAACGGTGACTTGTTCTCTGAGTGATAAACTACATAACGAAAATTAACTGACCTGATGTGACTACTTGAATTGTCTGTGACAACACTGAGCACCCCCTCCTCGGCCTGCTAGACAAGGATGATTATTAACGCAAAATCAACCAGCAGAGGTTGTGTGATAGGAGCCCTAAAAACAAAATTAGAATTACTAAATTCATATCGAATTGTGTGGCTGCCAGTACCGAATTGCAGTCGCACTCCAATTCAGGCATAATTATAAATTCATATCATGCCCAGGATCACTTGAACAGATCACTTTGACGAATTTTACAAATAAAATAACTCCATAATCAGTGTTTGTCCCCAATCACATACTACCATGGGTTTCAATTTTGATACGAACTTCCACATAAGCGCCAAGAAAATTGCTACTACTAACCGGCGACAAGCCGGAACACGCCTACCTTGGCACGACGACTGTTTGTCGAATTGTCGACGAGGGAGATGAGCGGGATGAGGCGGATGAACATGTCGATCTCGTGCTGCGCGGCGCGGAGCTCGTCGGCCATCCGTGCGCCCAGTAGCAGGCGGCGGAGGTACCCGCAGTCCTGGCACGCCGAGACGAGCGCGTAGCACCGCCGCAGCGCGGCGCGGAGCTGCTCCAGCGGCCGCCTGGTGGCCTCCCGCCGCATCAGCTCCGCCAGCTCCAACTCCCTGAGCAGACCGCCTACGAGCTCCACGTGCTGCGCGAGCCGCACGCAGGCGTCCCGGTGGCGGCGCGCCGCCAGGGCCGCCTGCACGACCATGGAGACCAGCCCCAGCGCGTCCACGCCGACCAGCTGCGCCACGTTGGAGGCCTGCCCCAGCGTGCCCCACAGGCTGCTCGAAGGGCTGTCCCACGGGCTCGCCATGCTCGCTGCTCCCCGCTCCTGCGCTCTGCGGTCTCTCCCCCTCCAGGCCTCGTGGCCGCCATTGACACGTATCTATCGGCGTGTCTGTGTGTCGCCGGCGACTTTGACTAAGCGTGGTATATGTGTGGACTTTTATTGCATTCTAATGCCACATTTCTTGTTTTAATTTTTATAAGGACACAGATGGCGAAAATTGCTTTTGGAGCTCGGCTTCCATCGAGGCCTCCAAATTCAAAATTTAAATTTCATCAAAATTTATATATTTACATTTCAAAAAAATCTGATTTTTTTTTACAGATATGCCTGAAGGCATAACACACATGTGTATCAATTTTCAGGCAAAAAACATTGAAATGAAGGTTGTGCAAAAAAAAATCTGAGGCTTTCTAACACATGATAGTACTATTTATCCTCACAGGCCATGAATTTGTCTTTTTTGTACAGATAGCATTTCAAGGTATTTCATCCTAAAAATGTATACACATACACATAACATCCTTATTTACTTGCACAAATTTTTTCTGTTTTTTTAAATCAAAAGGTTTGATTTTTGATTTTTTTTTTCAAATTTTCGAGCTCCAGTGAGCTCGGTCACCAAAACAACATTCTCCACAAATGGCCTTTATTTTTTCGGAATGTCGCATTCTCGTTCTATGGATACAAATGAACTACACATACAAATCAACAAATCAACTTTAACCATAGTTGTTGACAAGGTTCACCGATAGTAATGACTTCAGCGAGGAAATAGTATTAGATCACCGGTTTTCATCAAAAAAGGACTCGATAAGCTCCGGAAAATGCCTTCCACAAGGAGTGTAAACCGGAAGGCCAAATCTAAGATTTTCAGAATTCAAAATTTAGTACTCAAAGAGCACCACATAAAGAAAGTCTTCTATGTTCACACCATAAAATTATCTAATACTGCCACACATGGAAGCAACTTCACTCATTTTGGAATAGGGTCTATCCGGCCTCTCCCTACCTCGACAGACATTTAATTCGGCTCTATTAAAGGGTCTGTGAAAGTTTGTGTCACCAAATCTATTGGCTCTCTTTGGATACTGGTAATTCGCGCGTATCAAGAACTCCTGTTTAATTAATAAAGGAAAATCTTTTGATTAGTCCATATTAACAACTCATGTGCTTGTCCAGGCATAAAATCCAGCACTAAACATACTGCTTAAAATTAACGAAACCGTTGCAAGCATGTCCGGGCATAATCCCTCCCTCACCGTTGCAAGCATGTCTTCTCTCTTCTGTTCTGTTCTCCCAGGCTCCCACTGCCTGCACATCTTCTCCACTCACCTCCGCCGGTCCGGCCTCGGCGCCAATCATGTCCTTGCCTAGCCGTGACATCCGCCTCTCTGTTCTGCGCCTCGAGCTCTCTCCACCTTACCCAACCCAACTGGGTCCCTCCACCGCGGTCGATCTCTTCCCTTCCTGGTGAAGTTCGAGCCACGCCTTCTCTCCCCCCCCACCCCCCACAGCGAGCGCGACCAGCCACCGTGCCTCTTCCTCCCCTCCCCGAGCGCCTCTGGGAGACCGTTCATTTTGTTTCGTCCCCGCCGAGCGGCCGTTCCTCAAAAGAATGAAGCTCCGAGTCTGGTATCTTGTTGTGCCTAACAAGTGTTTGAAGTAATGTCCCAATACTCTGTTTATTGTGTCAGCTCATCTATCATGCTTCTAAAATTCCTAATCAGTGAACGTTACATGAGCTAATTTATACGTGTCATATAGACGGCCTTTGCAGCATCAAGTTAGTAGTTTGCCTTTTTTTATTCGCAGTATAGAAAATCTTTGCTGTGTTCAACCAGGACATGTTTAAATTATCATTTGCCCTAGTCAATTCGTTTAATTGCCATTTTCTAAAAAAGAAATGAATTCTGGCCTAAGCATATTACTTCGATGTGGGCATTGAGCAAACATTGCTTTCATAAATCCTTCATTCCCCTTGTCCTAAATATTTTTGATAAAAAAAATTGAAATTGTTCCTAGTATATGTGTTGAAATTGCAACACTTAGCTCCAAAACTGAACTGCTTCTGTGATCAGATCTAGCGCTAGAGTGGTAGTCACTAGTCAACCAAATATTGTCAACAAATAACGGCCTTCTGCAATTCAATCCTATCGAAAGCAAACTATTCAATAATAGTGTGTTTAAAAGCCACTCCCTGCTTAGCTCATACCAAGACACTTTTTGTCAGCATTTCTCGCTTCCTGCCCAGAGTTAGAACTTCCATATATTTTGTCACTTGTGCCAGGCTATGACGAAATATACTTGGACTGGTGAATTTAAAAGTCAGCTTAGCTGATACAAAGTAGCAAAGATACTATCTGGCGAAAGTGGCTGTATGGGCCACAAAGAAGTGTACCTTCTATAAATTGATTTTATTTTGAAAGGCAAATGATAATTCGACCAAGTCGTAGGAGCCTAGGAGGAGAATGTTGAATGCCCAATCGCCTTACCAACAAAATAACATACATTCTAAAAAGATGATTTTATTGTGGAAGGGAAATGATGTTTCGACCAAGTCATTGGAGGAAAAGGTTGAACGCTCAATCGTCTATCTCCTTTAAGAAGTGCTGGTATCATTCCCTTGACCTCAATGTCAACATTTCTCTTGTCCGCCGCAAGTACTTTTGTATATTTCCTCACTTGTGTCACAATAGGTAATATTATGTTCATAATTGTGATATAACGATGTATTAAATGTCACAACCTGCTTAGCTGACACAAAAGACTATTTGGGAAAAGCGTCTCTTTGAAGAAAAAGTAGTATTACTACTAACGTGCACTATGATTTCCAGAAAGATCAATACACTGCCAAATCAGGAAGCGCTTCTAAATTTTCAATCACATGGGATCTCGTAAATGCTAGGTGATCTTGGGTTAATCCTCAGAATAAATAAGATTACAAGTTACAACACAACAGTTGTTTATAAAGGTAATAGTAGACCGGTCAATCTTTATTAAGGAGAAGCATATAACGAAGTGCGTACATTTAATACTGCAAAAAACGCATGTATCCTGGGCACACACTACACATTTCTACTTCGAAGATATCGTACAGTTGGTGATTTTACGTGATGCAGTATGGTACAGATACACAAAGCTCTGAAGCTCTCTTATAACAAAGGTGGCAGAGAAGCAAACAAGGAATGTAATTACTAACACAGTGATCTCTTCATTTGTAGGATGCTTTTCTGTACCATACGAGGAGGGCTGGTTGTCATTTCAATGAGGGTTGGGAGCCACCGGCGAGTGGAAAGATAAGAGTGGATCACCAAGGAAAGACTGCTCATTGAAAGTGGAGAGTTGCCCAGTGTTTGGGACCTTCCCTGAGAGAAGCGGGTTGTATGAAACATTGAATTTGCTCAGTTTGGACAGCTTGTCTAGGTTTGATGGGAGTGCACCGGAGAAATTATTCCAAGACAAATCGAGGCTCCTTAGGGAATCCAGATGACCAATTTCGAATGGAATCTGACCAGAGAAAGAATTGCCGGATAAATTTAGAGCAACTAGTTGCATCCAACCAATTTCTGATGGTAGGTGTCCAGAGAGTCGGTTGCCATCAAGCAGGAGCAAGCTAATGTTCTTCATTGCGCCAATTGTGGAGGGTATCTCTCCAAGGTTTCCTGACAGCTGAACATACCCTAAGGCCGTTCGTAATGGTGAAGTTACTGGAAGTATGTCATATCCCATGAGGAGCCTGTTCCACATTGTTAGGCGGTTCTTCTGGGACATCATCATTGATTCAACAAAGTCAAACTCTAGATAACTCGCTGGCACCCACCGGTACACAAGTAAACATTTACTCGTCGCAGACTTGATCAGTGAAGGATTGCTTCGATTCTTGACAAAGGTTGGACCGGGATTCCTCCCCATACTTGCCATCTCAGGTGGGATTTTGCCGAATATCCTGTTTCCAACAAGGTTGAGCCAGAGCAGGCTAGTACAGTTTCCTATCTCCCTTGGGATCTCTCCTGAAAGTTGGTTCTCAGCCAGCATCAACAAGAGAAGCGATGTCAGATTACCAATCTCTGGTGGGATCTTGCCAGAGAGGCTGTTGAATGACAAGTTGAATGCTTGGAGCCTCATAAGCTGCCCGTATGATGGTGGGATTTTACCAGAGAAGTTATTACATGCAAGCACGAGGGATTCGATGCTCATCATGCTAGCGATTTCGCTAGGAAGCTTGTCGGAGAATCCGTTAAAGCTGAGGTCAAGGAAGATGAGGTTTGGCAACTGTAGAATGCCAGAGGAGACAATGCCACCACTGTAATTATTCTCTTGAAGCGCAAGGCTCTTCAGGCTCATCAATTTTCCGAGGACTTGTTGCACCTCCCCTTCAAAATTATTGTCACTGATCTCCAGAAATTTTAGCTTGGTGCAGTTCATCAGCTCAAGTGGTATCTTGTGATGGAACTAGTTGCTCGAGAGAACTAGCTCCTCCAGCCCTGTGATCGAGCCAATTCCTGGTGGTACAGATCCACCAAAGCTGTTGTTCCATAAGGACAGGGATCTCAAGTTTGAGCAATTGGCAATTGAATTTGGGAAATTGCCAGACAGTTGGTTGCTGGAGATGTCCACAACCAGCAACTTGCACCCCTTGGCAAACGTGCTGGAAGGAATGCTCCCTGTGAGGTTGTTCTTCGCGGCTTTGAACCGTGTAAGCTTTTCGATCCCTTCCCATACAACCTTTCCAGTGAATTGGTTCTAGCTGAGATCAATGTCAGGGAGCTTGGTGCAGCCACTGAACAGCCCACTTATCCTGCCTGTGAGGTTATTGTTGGAGACTGTGATGACACTGAGGTTGCCGCAGATGGCCGGGAAGTTTGTCCTAATGTCGCCCTGAAACCGATTCTGAGATAGATCTAGTATGCGTATGTTGGTCAGGGTGGACACATCGAGGGTGCCACCGATGAGGTTGCTTGATAAGTTGAGGTACTGGAGGCCCCAGCAGTGCTTGAGATCAGGATGGAGTTGACCAGTGATACTGTTTGTCGAGAGATCGAGGTGCGTGAGCCTGGTGAGGCGCGAAAAGTTACCGAAGGATGGTCCGGCAATGTTGGAACTCGAGAGGTCGAGATAAGTGACACGCCCTGCTGCATCACATTCAACGCCTTGGAGACGGCACGGCGAGGCCTCTGTCTCAGACCAGGTGTCATAGGCGCCACGGTTGATTGGGTTTTGCGCATTCAGGAAGTTCTTCAGCTCACGGAGCACCTCCTTGTCACTATGCCCAAGAATCACCTCTGCTGTTGCGCCAAATTAAACCAGAGGCAATTAGTTAGGATTAAGCAGGAAATGTACAGTGTGATCATACAAACAGGCGCCATACTGATGATAAGTGCTTGGCAAAAGGCACTCAGAATATGGTCAAAAACGGCCATGGAGGATAAAGAAACAAGTGACTTCTGTTTGCAGCTTGTACAACAGCTTTATTGGTTCCCATCCTTGTGGACAAAAGAGCATTCATCTCCAAAATTGTGTGGCCAAATCTGGGATTTCACCATCATGAAAGTGTCTTTGGGGCCAAGGCAGCCAATCACCTAGTTACCTGTCTTTGGGGGCAGTCGAACTGGCCAAGTACAGGTGCCCTATAGTGGATGTTTGGATCCTTCCCTCCGCTGGAACCAGATTTATTGGATATGTAGAATTCTCCAATATTCATCTATTCTGTTGGTTCTTCTCCAAAGTTGTTTGGAAGCTCCTGAGGTATCTCTTATCTGGCAGTCGTCAGTTTTCCTGGACAGAAGAATTTTTGTTGTGATCTCAATGTTTGGCCGCTTCAGTTATGGAATATTTCTTATTTGCGTTTGCTGGAAATGAATGTCTTGTGCGGTGTCACTCTGCCTGTGAGCTACAACCTTTTTTATATTTTAGCATTAAAAAGACAAAATAATAAGATATAGATTGATGTAAGAGAATATATATTTAGTTAAATCCCATAAATATTAGATATATTCATCTTCGATATTCAAGTTTGTTACTCTTACTCCCTCCGATTCATATTAGTTGTCGCTGAAACGGATGTATCTAAACGTATGTCAGTGCTAGATACATCCGTTTGGGCGACAACTAATTTGGGTCGGAGGGAGTAGTTAATTTACGCAGCTAACTATATATTTTAAGTAGGATAAATGTTTATTATAATCAAAAGTTTTCCTATGATTTAAACCTGAAGGGCTATTTTGTTTTTTCTAATAAAAATCAAATTTAATAATAATGGGTATGTTTTAATGGGTTTATATAATCATGAGGCATGAGCTACTCTTTAGTTTTGTTGTTTGGTATTTAGTTATCTTAGAAAGGCATATTACACACCTATACATTGTTATCTAAAATTGTGGCCGAAGGACCATCTTCTCCAAAATTGTGTGGCCAATTCTGAGATTTCACCATCATGAAAGTGTCTTTGGGGCCAAGGCAACCTTTACATAGTTACCTGTCTTTGGGGGCAGGCAAACTGATCAAGTATAGCTGCCCTGTAGTGGATGTTTGGATCCGGAACCTGATTAATTGGGTATTTAGAATTCTCCAATATTCATCTGTTCTGTTGATTCTTCTCCAAAATTGTGGCCACAAGTGCATTGTTCTCCAAAATTGTGTGGCCAGTTCCCAGATTTCACCATCATGAAAAGTGCCTTTGGGGCCAAGGCAACCGTTCATGTAGCTACCTGTCTTTGGGGGCAGGCAAACCGGTCAAGTATAGCTGCAATGTAGTGGATGTTTGGATCCTTCCCTTCGCGGGAACCGGATTAATTGGGTATTTAGAATTCTCCAATATTCATCTATTCTGTTGATTTTTCTCCAAAGTTGTTTGGAAGTTCATGAGAAATGTCTTATCCCGCAGTCGTCAGTTTTCCTGGACACAAGAATTTGTGTTGTGATCTCAATGTTTGGACCCTTCAGTTCTGAGATATTTTTTATTTGCGTTTGCTTGAAATGAATGTCTTGTGCAGCATCACTCCGCCCGTGAGCTACAACCCTTTTTATATTTTTAGCATTTAAAAGACAAAATTGTAAGATATAGATCGCAGTATGAGAATATATATTTAGTTAAATCCCATAAATATTAGATATATCCATCTTTGATATTCAAGTTTGTAAGTTAATTTACACAACTAACTATACTTTTAAGTATTATTATAATCTGGTCAAATTTGGGGGAAATTTTTGTCATGAGTCTCCCCTGGACCCCCTCTTCCTTTTATTCCTCCTTTTCAGTTTAGTCCATGTACAACCTGAGAGTTACAAAAAAATCAAAAACAAAAAACAAAACAAAAAAAATACCCACAAAAAACCTGAGAGTTACAAACACACACGCGCACACCAACACTCCCCCCCTTAAGATGGGCTAATCTATCATGCTTCTCAAATTCTGAATCGGTGAAAGTTATGTGAGCTAATTTACATGTGTCATATAGATGGCCTTTGCAGAATCAAGTTAGTAGTTTGCCTGTTTTATTCGCAATATGTAAAATCTTTGTTGTCTTCAACCAGTTTGAATTCTCATTTGTAAGTATTGATCCCTGGTCGATTCATTAATTGCCATTTGCTAAAATAGAGATAAATTCTGGCCTAAGCATATTACTCTGATGAGGGCTTCGAGCAAACAAACATTGCTTTGGTAAATCCTTAATTCCCTTTGTACTGAACATTTTGATCAAAAATTATGAACTTGTTTCTCGTATATGTATTGTTCGTTGCAACCCTTAGCTCGAAAACTGAACTGCTTCTATGATCCAAATCAAGCACTCATGCTAGTCACTAGTCAACCAAATATTGTCAACAAATAACAGCCTAATGCAATTCGCTCCTGCTGAAAGCAAACTATTCTTGTGATATACTGTCAGGTAGTGTATTTAAAAGCCACTACCTGCTTAGCTCACACAAAGACACTTTTTGTCAAAATTTCTCGGTTCCCACCCAGAGTTAGAACTTCCATATATTTTGTCACTGGTGCCGCATTGCTGCAATAGGCTATGACATACTATACTTGGACTGGTGTATTTAAAAGTCAGCTTAGCTCATACAAAGTAGCAAAGATACTATCCGGCAAAAGTGGTTGTTCAGTAACAAAGAAGTGTACCTTCTAAATATTTATTCAATTCTGAAAGGCAAATGATAATTCAACCAAGTTGTAGGAGGAGCATGTTGAACGCCCTATCGCCTTACCATCAAAATGGTTTTATTGCGGAAGGGTAATGATGTTTCGACCAAGTCATTAGATGAAAATGTTGAACGCTCAATTGTCTATCTCCTTAAAGAAGTATTGGTATCATTCCCTTGACCTCAACACCAACATTTCTCTTGTCCACCGGAAATTAGTACTTTTGTACATTTCATCACTTGTGTCACAATAGCTAATATTATGTTCATAAATGTGATATAACGGTGTATATAATGTCACTGCCTTCTTAGCTGACACAAAAGACTATTTGACAAAAGTCTCTTTGAAAAACAAAGTATACCTCCTAAGAAACAATGTTCCACGAATGGGAAATGATGTTTTTTGTTGACAAGAACGCTCAGCTATTTATTCCCTTTAATGTGTTGGTAACATGCTATTGGTCTTTTTTTAGTAAACTGCATTTGCTACCATGGTTACCTTAATCTGCAGTATGATTCCAGAAAGAACAATGTATTGGAAAATCAGGAAGCAGGTCATGCTTCTAAATTTTCAATCACATGGGATATCGTAAATACTAGGTGATTTTTCGTTAATTCCTCAGAGTAAACAAGATTACAACACAACGGTTGTTTATAAAGGTAATAGTAGATCGATCAATCTTCATTAAGGAGAAAGCATATAACAAAGTGCGTACATTGCAACAAACACGTGTACCCATGGGCACACACCGCTTTCTACTTCAAAGATATCCTACAGTTGGTGATTTTACGTAATGCAATATTGTATAGATACACGAAGCTCTGAAGCTCTCTGATAACAAAGGTGGCAGAGAAGCAAACAAGGAATGTAATTACTAACACAGTGATCTCTTCATTTGTAGGATGCTTTTCTGTACCATACGAAGAGGGCTGGTTGTCATTTGAATGAGAGTTGGGAGTCGCAGGTGAGTGGAAAAATAAGAGTGGATCACCAAGGAAAGACTGCTCATTGAAAGTGGAGAGTTGCCCAGTGTTTGGGACCTCTCCTGAGAGAAGCGGGTTGTACAAAACGTTGAATAACTTAGTTTAGACAGCTTGCCTAGGCTTGATGGGAGTGCACTGGAGAAATTATTCCAGGACAAACCGAGACTCTCGAGAGAATTCAGGTGACCCACCGTGAATGGAATCTGACCAGAAAAAAAATTGTTGGATAAATTTAGAGCAACTAGTTGCATCGAACTAATTTCTGATGGTAGGTGTCCAAAGAGCCGGTTGCCATCAAG